TCAGATCATTAAATCATTATTTATCTCACGCTTTCTCTGAAGTCCAAACGGTTCAAGATTCAGAGTTATTAACTCTGCAGTTCGTACGTTAATATTTAGCATGTGGGACCACTCCCGCAAACCTGTGTGTGTCAGTGTGTTTGTGCCATGTGTGGCATTTTTTTTTGTTTTTTCTTCCGGACATCCGAACGCTGATCCATCCAACCTTTTGTCCAGGTGCGTATGTCGGTTAACCGGATGTCCGGGTTAATCCAGACACGTGTCCGGTGCTCGTGTCCAGTTGTCCGGATGTCCGTGTCCGGGGCAACCATGATACTATCCGACCCAAGCTCGAGAAAGAACTTGTGGTCTAACCATTCTGCAAGGAAACGCCAACGATTGTGTGCCGTTTACAGGATTCTTCATGGCGGCGTGTTCGAGGACCATTTTCTTTTGAAATTTGAGCACTCAAATTACCGTTGTTTTCAATCAACTCCCCCTAAAGCTTCCTTGAGCACTTGGGCTCTTCTCCAGCAGATGAGGTGGGAAGCAACTGGCATCACCGATCATACGGCTCTCCAACTGGTTGTGTCTTGGTGACAGGCGGCTTCAGGCCAGGCTGCATTTTGTTGTGAAATTCAAACACTTGATTTAGTTGTCAGCATGTGCACCTGGAAGCAACCACCCTAGCCCATCACATGTCCTCCAGCTGAAGTTGAGGTTGTTCTTGAACTCCAAATCAAGTTGCTGCTTTCTCCAATCTGTTACCTTTTCCACTGTCTAGTCAATTGTCCAGTCTACAGCACCGACTCCAAGGGTCCAGGATGGGGGAGGATCCTCAATGGCTACCAAGCTTTGCTGAAATGACAGCGCGGCATTTTGTTGGCTGGCACCATCCAGTCGCCCTGGGCCTAATTTTTTTCAGTTAGGCCCAACCATCGTGATCCTCAAGTTGGCCGGGTCATCTACTGGTGCTCACGACTTCCCATCGGATCCATATTACATGGATGCTCCTTCAATAATTGCTCAACCCCCCAGTCTCGGGTGGGAGCACCTCCAAAGAATTTTGCCATCTACATGTAGGCATCACTTTCACTTTACCACAAGGTTACCTGTTGCCGCTTCTCCCGCAAAAAAGTGAATGGGAAAGGGTCAAATGAGGGTGGTTAGGGGTTTGTTGGTCGGATGTGGGTTTGGGTGGGGCCAGGGTGCTTTTTAGGCTAACCTGTGCATTGTTGGATAATAAAAGACATATCTGGATACGTCTGAGCAAAAAACGTGAAATACCCGTTTTGCTTTTGTTACTTCCAATGCATTGTTGTCGACACTGCCTATGGAATACTGCTGCTGCTTTGCAAGCCTTGGATAGATATTTTATAGTTTTTCTTTCTTCTTTTTTTGCTTTTCTGTCCTGTCGAACACCTGATCACAGTTTCCAATCCTTTCAGTTGTGGTTTGCTGGGTTGGTGGTTGTTCGGATTTGAACTCACCTGTTGTGTGTGTGTCACACTTTGCATACCTGTCTCCCGCTAACCAGAAATATTTTTTTTCTCAGATGTCGCAATCATGTGGGGGGTAGGGGGCAGGGCGTGCAGTTAGATTGGGCTCTCTCAGATGTTTCGATCATGTGCGGGGGAGGGGGAAGGGCGAGCAGTTAGTTAGATTGGGCTCTCTCTCTCTCTCTCTCTCTCTTTCGAGCGCGCGCGCGCGCGCTTCAGCGGGGTGTGCACGCCCCGTCATTGAGACCAAAAGCTAAATTCAGCGGCAAAAGACGTTAGGGAAATAATGGAAAAAGAAAGCGACAGACATTTTGTAGATCAGGCGTTCAGAAAGGCAGGAGAGAGGAGGGACAAAAGAGAAAGGAGGGATGAAGAAGCGAAAAACGAAGCGAAACACATTTCGTGCGGGGAAGGGACGAAGGAGGGAGAAGGGATGATGGAGGGAGGTCGAACCAAGGAGGGCTCGACGGACAAAGGAGGGAGTGCTGAGGACGAGCGAAGGGGAATGGAGGCGACGGAATGGGTTTCACGGAGGAG